CAAGGTCAAATCTTTAGAGATGTAAGGTGAAACATCCTTTTTATTTTCTCAATAACAAGTTCTACTTATGATAATAATCAAATTAGTCCAAAACTTGCTCTGAAACATCGAAGGATCCATAGCTCAGTGATAGATAAGGCGGGACATAATTAACTTAGTTACAGTAAATTATAGATAATCTATACTATTTTGTACTATAAAAACTGAACTGTTTTTATAAAAACTGAACTGTTTTTATAAAAACTGAATTATACTGCTTTTTAGCGCAGTTTAGAAAAACTAATCTTTTTCTATTAAGAGTATAGTTAACTATTTTAAACTCTGAACTGTATTTTAGATTTTGATTTGAAACTTTTACTTGCTTCACTTTTTTTTTTCAGCAACATGAAAAAATAAAAATAAAGAAATATGTTCGAATTATCTTTTAGATTATATATATATATATAGATAAATAATATGGACAAATAAATAAATAACTGTTTTTAGATATCTTTATAAAGTTAACTATAATAATTATTATAATAAAATAATATTATTAAATTTATACTAAAATTCATTAAATATTTTAAAAAAACTAAATTTTATTAAATTGTAATTATGAATCGATAATTATTTTGTAAATTAATAAAACTATATATATATATATATATATATATATATATATAATATGCATAAATAAATAAATAACTGTTTTTAAAGTTCTTTAAAAAAGTTAATTATAACAATTATTAAAATAAAATAATATTATTAAATTTATACTAAAATTCATTATATATTTTAAAAGAACTAAATTTTATTAAATTGTAATTATGAATTGGTAATTCTTTTGTAAATTAATAAACTTAAATATATTTCTAAAAATAAAAAAATAAAAATGTGTGAATGAGAAAATAATTATAAAATATAATACAATTATATATTTTTTTTTCAATTTTTTATGTCGGGTGCAAACAATGACGAATATTTTCTTTATATTACAAATATTCAATATCATTAACATATAAGTAAGACCGGTATATGTCAAAAAAATTTGTTAGATTTTAAAATAATACAATCCATAAAATAATTGCAATGAATATACAGTTTTGTGTTTCAACACGTTCTCAGTATACATAAATAGCATTTAGTACAGTTATTAGTTAACTATATAATTTTTTTTTAAATTAAATTGCAAAACAGTTCAATTGAATTATTATCTTAAGTAGTTTAGTTTCTTTTAATTTAGTATAATATATTTAGTTATAGTTTAGTAAAGTTTAGCTTGATTTACCCAACTTCCTAATAATATTTGACAATTTTCTTCATTTTACTTTTGAGCTTTTATTTATTTTTTCTTTTTTTAGTTTGTAGTTACTTTTGGTTCCAATAAATGAGAAAAAAAAAACCAACATACTTTCATATCAGAAAAAAAAAAATATTATTCACTATTTTAAAACTTTTATTCACTTTCATTTAAAGGATTCACCTTTTTTGTGTCAAATTTTTTTTTTCAAATTTTTTTTTGAAATTAAAGTTTTTCTAAAATGAAAATAAGTATTTTACTAATTTTACTGTTTTTTTTTTTAATTTAACCAATCTTATTCAATTTGACCGCTTTTTAAGGTAACTATTTTTGTAATTATAAAATTGCTTATAAAATAAATAAATAACTATTTATAATAAAGTTATTAAAATTATTTTTATTTAATTTTATAATAATAATAATAATAATAATAATAATTGTATAAGTAATTTTACTTTACTATATAATTTCAAATTTAGTTTATTATCCACAGACGATATGGCTCTTGGATTGAGTTAAAAACAAATCAGTTTAATTTAATGAGTTAGAAATTTTATAATTTAATTTCATTTAATATAAATTGGTAATTTAAATTATATATAAATGTTTTGCTTTTTAAATTTATTTTATATTTATTAAAATATGTAAGAGTCTGAAAATTGTAAGGTTATTGGGCCTTATGTTGAGGCAATGAGGCCCGTAAAGCTAAGGGCACCACGACCTTTGAAGGGAATTCTTTATTTTTCAACTCTGAGTTCATTAGTCAGTTTCTCTTTCTCTCTCTAAACTCAATCCTCTTCTTGCTATGCCTTCTTTCTACCCTCACACAAATTTCAACCGTTACATTGTCTTATAGGTGGTGTTCTTTCGCTCACGGAGTCGAGGGCTTCCTATCCATCTGATTAGTTTTCGATTTGGACGGGTAAGTCAGTTTCTCCACTCTTCTTGAACCTAGAACATGCAACTTTACCGGTTGCATGCAGCTGATGGTGGTCTAGAATCCCTGCCCATTTAATTCGAAAGGTGAGTGGGGCGTATAGCGAGAGTTTTAGGGGGGTTGGTCTCTGTCTGGACTCTTGCATAGCGACCTATGTGCGTTATGCGAGAGACCTAAAGTCTGATACTTATTCAGACTTAATTCGCAAGGCGACCTGGGTGGGTGCGCAATACGAATAGCGCCAGTCTCGCCAAGCGAGGGTGGTGCACTGTGCGACGAGTGCTGGGTCTGGTTCTCTAATTTGTCCCATGCTGCGTTTGATTAGTGTGCTCTTTGGTTGTTGGTGAAGCATTCTTTTGCATCTACAGTATTGTATGGTGATATTCAAACAAAGATGTGATTTGTAGCAAAAAGTGTATGGTTATAAAGTGCTGGGAAAGATAATCCAAGTTGTAAACCAAGTTCCATCTATGTCGGATCTCTTGGTGAGATTCTTAGTGTTTAGAATGAGAGTAGGAGCTCAGTCTTGGGGTTATCCTGAAATTCCAATGCCCTTTCTTCTCATGTAGAGAGGATTGAACCATGTTGTGAAGAGTAGCAGGAGGTCTTAGTCCTGGGGGCTTCCAGTATGCCTCAAGGCCCATAACAGGCTAACCTCGTGAGTGTGGCAGGGTGGGGGAGCCCAAGTTTCATAAGCTACCACGAGTGCAAGACCCGCCATAGCTCAACTATCATTCTAAAGTCTGGATGAGTCAAGTCTAGAACATAACATGTTAGGATGTGTGTTTATCTTGATTGATTAAATTTAACTCTTGCATGCACATCTTGTCATATCGTATGATTTTTATATAATTAGCTCACCCTTGCTTGTTTGTGTTGTTTGCGTATGTTTCTTCTTGCGATGATCATCCACTTGGATGGGAGCATATGTCGAGGAGGTGCCTTTGGAGCAAGCCTTGGAAGAAGAGGACGTTGAATAATAGTTTCATTAGGATCTATTTACTTTAACTTATGCATTTCGGAAAAAAAAAAACTATTATTTATAAAACCTATGGTATTTTGGAAGACTTTAGTACCGCAAGTTTAGCTTCATAGCATTCTAAGGATCATTGTAATTTCTAAGGAAAATGATACTTGAACAACCATTTTTTACAACATTTAGACACGCGCACACGTGTCAAAATCTGAGTGGTCCATTTTCATTTAATTTTTCCAACTGAACCACTCAGATTTTGACACGTGTGCACGTGTCTAAATGTTGTCAAAGATGGTTGTTCAAGTAGCATTTTCCAATTTCTAATATTCAGTTATATGTTTTCAACTGCTTTCTATTATTATAACTCGTTGACGTCTTTATTATATATGCATGTTGTATATTTTGGGATGTCACAAAATACAATGAAAATAAATTAACTCTATTATTTTTCTATAATAATAAAATCAAAGTATTTATATATCTTTCAAATATTACTATAAAAATAATAATTAAAAATTAAAGTATTAATATATATATATATATATATATATATATAACTTAATAAGTAAATAAATTAAATATTTAAATTATTCAAATATTATTCAACAATTTTCTATTTGAAAAAATAATGTCATTATAATAAAAATCTTATCTTATTTTATCCTTGAAAATATTGTTGTACAAAAAAACAGTGAAGTGATAATAATATAAAGCTGAGGAGGCTGGAGAAGGAAACAACACAATAATACTGAGAATTTTAAGGTCTAACTAATTGGCTTCATTGTGGTTAGAAAAGTATGGATCTCACTGTAGCAGCAGCTTCAGATGATCTTCCCAACATTGACCAGACTCCACGTCCGGGTAAGTTATATATTCTTCAAACTACCGTCTTCACATGGGGTGAACAACATTCCAGACATCACTTGAGGTTTTGAGAAAACGAAAATTATCTTACATTATAAAAATCATATTTCATAAATAAGTTAGAAAATTAAATTTTAACCATAAAAGTATAATCACTTTAAAATTTGTGTGTATAGGCACAGATTCTTATAAGCTGTACTGGCTTGCACGCACAAATGACTGGCTCTCAGCGCAACCCATTGTTGAAAATAATCCTGATGCTGTACGTGTTCCATTGAGTGGAAAAGACAACAGAGTTCTTCATGTAGCAGCAAATGCAGAGAGCACTACTTTTGTGGAAGAATTGGTTAAGCTGTTGCTTAACCTTAACAGACCAGAAGACCTGTTAATATCAAACTCTGAAGGGATGCTTCCAGTTCACTTGGCAGTTTTAACTGGCAACCAAAAAATGGTGCTACATTTATGCCCTGACGAAGCCCTGGATATAATGGTTTTCGAGGATATTGAAAAACTCTTCTTTATGTGTATTAGCAACAACATGTTTTGTAAGTGCATCTTCTACTAATTAATCTACTGTCTTTTATCCCTTTCTTTTAAAGTGCTTGTCTTTTACTATTTGTTATACAAACCACTCAACTGATATGATCAAACATCATTCCATTTTTAATTGACTATAGCTCAAATAACAAATAGTTGTAATAATTGTGATTGAAATTCCTATAGGATGTCTTAACAGAGACTCTAGTTTCTTAGTTTATATTAAGACCAGTGCCATCTAGAAAAGTTGTCTAAGGGATGAACATTAATTGTTCATATGTTCTCTCTACAAACTCGTTCATAGAAGATGTTAATAGTTTTTTTTACGTACAAATAAGAACACATAATGACAGTTGTAATAAATGAGAATTGATGTTCAACCTACGGGTTCAAAAAGTAAAAGAGAAAAGTTGACTCATAATCTCTATTTCATAGTCATATTTGTACATGAGTTGTTTATCATCAGCTATTTAATTTGTGCATTTTACAGTTACGGCCGCGGCAAAACTATTTAGTAAAAATAGACGTGAATTGGCCATTGCAAGATATCAAGAGGCAGAAGAGAGCCTAACAGCATTGCATATGCTGGCACGTAAACCTTCAGAAATTCTACGTAAGCTTTCACACATACAAAATGTTTTTTTGCTCTTTCTTTTTTATTGTATATTCTTTGACAACAATTTCATTGTTTTAATTCTTATTTTAGAAATTTATGCATTTATGCAAACAAAAATATAGGATCAATTATTCCATAATTATTAATATTCATTGCTATAATATTATTAGGAGGAGTGGACAAAATGAACTCCACTTAAAATTTGTATTGAACAAAAATTAATTTGTTTAAATGGACCTGAAAATTAAATCAAAAGAATGAACTGAACTACTTATCTTAATCTGTTTTTGAATTACAATAGTTTTAAATTGCATTATTCTTTAACCAAATTGCACTAGTTTTCAATCGATATTTTTGAATTAAAAAACTAAAAAATAATGCTTATCTACTTGATTGATAGTATAAGTTCTTTATAAACAAAAAAAAAAAACTAAGTAAATAAAAAAAATTGTCTCTACTTAAGAACATAAATTCTCTCGTAAAAATCTCTTAATAATTTGATAACGATTTATCTTTCAACAAATATTTCTTTATAAAAGTTAAAAAAATGACTTCTTTTTTTACATTAAAGTTCAAAACTCCTCTTTAAGAATACTTTTTTAAATATTATAATCATATTAGAAAAGCATTGATTAAATAATTTATTAAGATTAGTTCACGGTATTCCGTCATTGAATCTTAATCTTAATCAAGCTATACAATTTAAAATTTAGTTATCTTAAATATTTTCATAATTGTTTAACCAACTAATCCTAATTAAGTTTTTAATTAAAAAAATAAAAAACAATTATAAATAATTAAAACACACATATATGTAGGATGGACAAAATTAATTATGGTTAAAAATTGTACAAAACCAAAACAGTAATTCGTTTGAACTAAACTAAATTATTTAAAAACCTTAAAGAAAAGAATGAGTCGAATTCGACATAACTGGTTGAAAATTAGTGAAACTCGGGTAGGACGACCACAAATCATTAAAACAAGTTTCGATCTAAAATGGTGGAATTTAGCCAATCAAAATCCGACTAACCTGACCCTTGCTAAAAATTGGCTGAATTCTCTAACTAAAAATTGATGGAATTCAACCAAATCAGTTTCATCTAAAGTTTGGTTTAATTAGTTGTGATTAAACTAAACTACAATGTTAAAGACTCACAAAATTAATTAGTTTTAAACTAACGAATAGTTAACTGTAACTTTAAAATGTTTAATTTTCTACAACTAAAATATAAAATAGTATAATTCAGATTTTATTATAAATAGTTCAGTTTTTTTTTATTCAATATAATGCAATTAATTGCTAACTCAGTAGAATGCAATTAAGTTTTTCATAGGTATTAGATTACATGCTTGTTAAGTTAGTATGACAATACAAACATTTATGGACCGGTGAGTAAATATCTTGCACTTTTTGTATGTAAAGAGTAAATTATAGATATCTTAAATTGAGATAAAAAAAAATGTTGCTTCATATAATTAAGAAAGTTTTTTTTTTCTTTCTTCTTGTGTAAACCATGTCTTGCAACAATGAAGACATGAAATCAGAGGAGGTGGACGAGAATGGCAAGGGAGTATCAGCGGATCTGGGATTGTTCTTGATGATATGGGTTGAGATTAGGACATTACCAAAGGAAGAGATTTTGGAGTTGATCACTCAACCCTCAGCAGTGTTGTTTGATGCAATAAAATCAGGACACGACGTGGTTGTGAAACTGCTTCTTTCTCTAAATCCTGGACTATTCATAAAAGATTCCAATAATGGACAGAACCTAGGACACTTGATTGTTCAATATCGACATTTTGATTACTTTAGGTTTATAGATTTTAAGAGAAAGCAGATAATAGGAGCAGTGGACAGTGAAGGAAACAACGTTCTACACATGGCTGCGCATCTACCACTTCAATTCCAGGCATTATCAGGTTTAAGAGCAAGCATTCAAATGCAAAAAGAGCTTGCATGGTTCAAGGTGAGAATTCATTTATTTCCTCATTCTTTAGTATTGTAAGACCTCAGTTGGAGAAATCTTGACACTTTTGGTTGATAAATAGGAAGTGGAAAAAAAGGTTCCTAGTGACTTAAGGAGTATGAGAAACAAGAAGGGAAAGAGACCAATCGATGTATTTTATGATGAACACGAGAAGATATCTAATGAGATCAAAGAATCTGCCAAAGGAATAGCGAACTCCGGAATGGTTGTGGCAACACTTGTTGCTACAGTAGCGTTTGCAGCTGCTGTGACGGTTCCAGGTGACAAGAAAAATGATTGGTTCGTTGTCTTCATCATCACAAATGCAATAGCATTATTCAGTTCTTCTGCTTCTATACTCTCTTTCTTGTCAAATTTTACTTCTTCAAGATTTGCAGAAAGTGAATTTGTGATATCATTACATCCCAGCTTGACTTTTGGACCTGCTTTGCTAATCATTTCTGTTGCTGCTATGGTTGTGGCATTCATTGCGACATGTTTTCTGATATTTGAAGACACAAGGAAGTGGGTTTGTTATGTAGTGACTTCAATGGGGGTTTTCCCATTACTCTTGTTTCCTCTCTTTCAATTTAGCTTATTCGACGAACTCATTTGGTCTAGATGGTATCGTACCAAAGAGTCCATGGTTCCTGTCTCCACCACATTGTATATGTTTGTGAAGCCATTATTAAAGTTTGTTTGCAAGAAACCTTCAGATCCAACTCTCTTAGAGGACAATTATAGATCCGAGAATTTGGATGACAGTATTTAGATCCGAATACGCACATGGTGCCTCTCCATGGAGCCTTCAGATACAACATTCGGTAAGTGTATTTGGTTGTAAATTCAAATGTGTGTTTAAGTATAATGCATTTTACTTTTATATTTACATTATAATTGTTTTCAAATATATTCTATCTTAAATTATTAATAAAATTAATTTTGATTATTTTATGTATTTATAATTTTATGTTTTTTATTATAAAAACTATATTTTATTAAATTAAAAAATTATAAAGGAAGGAGGTTTAAAACCTCCACAAAATAAATTCACTAATAAAACATTGACATAATTAAATTTTAAAAAGATTAAAAAATAGTAAATTGTAGTTGAAAATCTTTTTACTGAAAAAATAGGAGATGGAGGCCTTAATGGAGGAGGAATGGCTACCTTCGTGAGTGAAGAAGAAGGAGATGGAGTTCGGCAAACCTGGGCCACTCCTTGCTTGGTGTACTCCCATTTTTGCATCCTCTACCTTTTATGTTAGCTATTGGGCTGATTCCATTTATTTTATGCACCCCCATTATAATATCTGTTGGTTGTATTGTGTGTTGTTGGGCCATTTTGCTTGTAAATTCACACTCCTATTATTACTTTCCCCGCACCCCTGTTTGTTTACATTGTTATTGGGCTGGACTGCGGTCTCATTTGCTGCACCTCTACCTTAATGCGTTGTAGCCCACCCCTTGTTAGTTTTACTGTTTGTATCCTGCGTCTTTACTTATTGTACTCAATTTTATTTTCTTTGTTTTTTTAAAACAGTTTTGCGGTGAACCTTTCTTTTAATTTTCACAATCCTTATTTCAATCTTCATACCCATTTTTATTATTTGGCCCCCATATTTTCAGATAAAACTCATTAATAATGTTAAAAAATGTTAGTTATGATGGGTCTCGGATTTCATAATTAAATTTTTATTCATATAAAATATTTAAAACAATTAATTATTATGTCTTAAGGATATTTCATATCTATATTAAACTTAAAAATCATTTATTATCGTGTTGGAACTTGATTCGTTTTATAATTAAAACCTTATCTAAAATATTAAAGATTATAAATTGCCACGTGAAATATTGTATCTGTTTGATAATTATAACTTTTTTTTAATTAAAAATCTCAAAAAATATTTAAATTTCAAAATTAAAAATATTAATTAATAAACAATTTTTTTATTAAGAATTATGTGATTATTGATATTTCATTGTAAATAGAGATATATATAGTAACAATGTCAAATCTTGTTAGGTACCCAAAAAATTTTCAAATAGTTTTTTTAAAAGAATTATCTAATCTTGAATTACTATTGTGAATAGGAATACATATTACATTAATTTTGCATATTTAATTAAAAGAAACTGTTTTTAATTAAACATTATGGATGTTCGCCACAAGTAATTGGTTTCGAAATATAACGTAGTTTCTCAAACTGTTTCTTTTTCTAAAAACTTTTCTACAATTTTTTTTAATAAATTATGATTGTCACTCCTTCTACTATTTTATTATTATTATTATTATTATTATTATTATTATTATTATTATTATTATTATATATTTAGTGTTTTTATTTTTATACGTTGTAGGATATTATCTATGATTTTTTTATCTTTTTTGGTAATTGAAAAAATATACTTTTATTATCTTAACATTAAGTATATTATATTTATGGACAAAAGAGTGAGATGATTTTTTAGTCATCCTTTAATTGATAAAGCAAATTGTTTTTTTAATTTATCAAAAGAATTTGTGTTATTTTCACTTTGAAAGAAAAATATATTTTTTATAAATTTAAGGAGAATGTTAATATTGAGAATGGATCACCATTACAATTGACATAAGTTTAAGAAATTTCATATTTATAAGATATATATTTGTTTTGGTTGAACTATTATTGAAATTAATGCACTTCAAATGTTCGTGAAATCTTTGACCCAAAAGTCTTGCCAAGTGGATTTAGAAGATTGTGAAATAATAATATCTCCAAATCACAAATTATAACTAATCAGAGTAAATAATTGAAGTTTAAATCAATATATAATTTATAACTTTAATATATTTTGTGAGTTTTTTTTTAAATAATAACTTTAAGAATTATTTATCTTTTTCGTTCTTTAATACATTCTCTTTTAGTTTTCACATTTTTTTGATAAATCATATTGTGAATAATTATACTTTTTAAATAAAATACTTATTAATGTTTATTTTTTATTATTTTTCATCTCTTTTACAACTCATTTTGATAATACTAATTATATTGTTACATATTTTTATCCTTTACTTTTATGCTATATTATTTCAAAATTCATCAAATAATTAGGTAATATTTTTTTCTATCAGCACGTTACAGTGATATGGAATTAATAACTAATACTTTAATTTTTTTTAAAATTATAATATGATTCATGTTTTCTTGAAATATATTTTTCATTAACGATTCTATAAATTACTATCAATGTAATTAATATTTTAAAAATGCATAATAATAAATATAAATACTTATATAATTTAAATTTTGTATAATTATTAGGAATACATAAACATGATATTGAAATAGTTTTAGTATATCAATAAATACATTACTCTCGTTTGTTGCACAAATAAATATTAGTAAAATTTATTTGGGACTAACATAGGAAAAAATAATAATATTTAATAAAAATTGTGAATATCAATATTTTTAAATGATTAAAACTACTANAAAATGTATCGTTCTCCCAAGGGAATTTGGAGTTACGTTAATGAATTAAAATTATTTATCAAGATCAATTACTGATGATATTTGTGATTTCAATTTGGATTTAAGCATGAAATTAACAACGTAAAAAAAATAATATTGAAAAATGCGATAAAATATAACTGGAATTGGTCTTTGACTAACATTACAGTAAGATCTTGGACAACATATATTCTCTGTTCAAGCATTCACATGAGAGTATCTTGGTTCAATTCCTTAAAACAAGTTCTAAAATTATCTATTGAATTATTAATTCCTTAATTAATTCATCAGATGATTTTGCATTAAGTTGAGAATAACCAAAAGCACAGAAGTTATTCCTAGCGTAGTTACTTTTAGTTTCTTTTCTTACGTTTCTGGTTCTAAAAATACTTCCCAGTACAATAGAACTTTTAAGAAGATTAATACTTTCGTATAATCAAAAGTAAGTCAAGAAAAGAACAAGAACAAAAACATATATTGCACAGGAAATTTACATTAATGATTCGTCATACAACCAATTCCAATGAACAGAAAATTTAGCCTATCCTAGACATCTCAAACGTACTCTTTACCGCAATTCCTTGCATAAAGTGAAGTCTTGATGTCTTGACAGGTCTCCTGATCGTCTCCTGAATTCTCCAGTCTTTTTCTGACTATTTTTCGTGTAACTGCTTTATGTCTTTCTGTCACGTCTTTTAAAACCACATAACTTCAATAATTCGGTCAGCGCACCGGTGTGTGTGCGTTATGCGAATTTCGTGTAACTGCTGCCTCTCAAATGATGTAATTCGCACAGCGCACAGGTATTGGTGCACTATGCGAATTTGCTTTTTCTGGCAGTGCGAATTGAGTCTTGCGCTATGCGAGAATTGACTGATAGACTCCCAATTATACATCTTTCCTGTACAATAATTTACAAAACAATCTACTTCCTATTACAATATTTCACTGAGTAATAACATGAAAAATGAGAAGATTGAGATCATTTATAAGTATAAAAACAACTCTTTTTCATACTTATCAAAATCCACTCTCACTTAACTTAAAATCTATTCAAATAAACAACAAAAAAATTTACTTTCAAATCCTCTCAAATCCATTTAATTACTCTCCTTGAAATCCATTCAAATAAACAAAGCCTTAAATATGCATAATTAAAGCAAAGAGGAAGAGAAAGAGATAGGTTAAATCATACTTGTTTTCTCTTTCACTTCATCTAAATTTTTGAGCAAATAATTTATTTCAAGTTCCACACACTATTAATGCCTCAAATATTTGAAACATAAATAAAATACGTTAAATCAATAACATAATATATTAATCTTAATATTGTGTATAGTTAATTGTAGAATATAAGAAGTATAATCAAAGTAATATCCTTTATAATAAATAATAAATTTATTTTATGATATGTTTTTTATATTTAAACATATAATTCATTTTAATTTTTATATTTTATTTTAATTTAATTAAGTTTTAATATATTTTAAACAAAATTAATTTAATTTATTTTATTAAATTAACGTTAATATCATTTAAAAAGTGTTACGTATATTCTATTTTGAAACTCGTCTTTTTATTCGTGATATTCTTAATGCGCGATGTTTTAAAAGTGCCAATTTAACGAAAGAAATTATTGTAATACGATTAACTAAAAAAATATATAAAAATCAAAGTAAATTATAAAATTAAATATAAAGATTAACTAATTAAATTTAAATAATATTAAGATATCGTATTATTCAAAATGTTATTTATTACATAACTCTTATAATTAATATATTACTTTTATTTAATATGATTGGAATGAGTCAAACCATAATAACTTCACGTCGTTCTTAAAAATATTGCTGAACTAATTTAAAAACCGATGTAATCCACATTATTCGCCCAACTCTTCTTACATTGAGTTGTGTTTCTTCTTGATTTGAAGTATTTATTCGTTTTATTAGCTATTAATCTCCATAAAAAGTAGAATTAGTCCCTTTTAGTATGTTTTAATGTGTGTGTGTGTGTGTATATATATATATATATATATATATATATATATATATATATATATAATTTATCTTGGTCTCCATTTGAATTTAAAAAATCTTAACCACAAAAGGATTTGAATATTCTCTTGAGAATATTTTATTAATAAATCTTAATGAACTAACCCACTACATAAAAAATTTAGGTCTTATAATTTTCTTTAATTTTTTTGAAAAAGAGATAAAAGTTTTTATATATTGTATATTAGATCATTTAAAATATAACGAGTTTACCATTTAAAATTTTTATATTG